AAACCTAAAAACCTAAAACCCTAAACCCTAAACCCTAAACCCTAAAACCCTAAACCCTAAACCCTAAAACCCTAAAGCCCAAAACCCTAAAACCCTAAACCCTAAACCTCGAAGAACTCTTCGAGGCTTTGGGCTGAACAATCTTTGGAAGAAATGTGAGTCGCTCGATGCAGCCATCCGAGCATCGAGCAGAGAGGTTCTCAAGAGCTCTTTTTAAAGCGAATCCCCAAGACCTACAGAGGTTTAGGGTTTAGGGTTTAGGGACCCCAGAAACCTTGTCAATACCTCAACCCCAAGCTCGACAACCCTAAAATTCCCCCCCCCATGTAACACTCTTGAGATCATCCTAAACCCTAAGCCCTAGTATATGAGATCCCAACATCCACCCTAAACCCTAAACCCTAAATCCCAACCGAAATCCCAAGCAAAGGCATCGACTTGGTCCAAAAGCTCATCTCCACGGAGCAGGCCCGCAGTTTCCGGTGGGTCCGGGAAATGAAGGCACGAGTCGCCTTAGGGTTTTGGGTTTTAGGGTTTTCGGGTTTTGGGGTTTAGGGCTTTAGGGTTTAAGGTTTAGGGTTTTTTAGGGTTTAGGCTTTTGGGGTTTTCGGGCTTTAAGGTTTTAGGGTTTGGGGATATTTAGGGCCTAGGGCCTTCTGCCTGCTTTCACTGCAAAGACATGATGGGTGGGTGAAATCTCAGAGGCCCCACAATATACTCGAAGGGTCCCTGCGTGAGCGTGATGGCAGTTGTCAGGTGAAGCTCTTCCACACGGCGAATGGAAAGGCACACCTCAGCCTTGAAGCCCGGGGCATCGACAAAATTACGTGAACTCCTGATTAGCCTGTCCTGATTCGTGTTGATGCGGGGCTGAAGCCTAAGCGCTAAACCCCGGACGGTAAGCGCAACGTTTGGAGGAGTTCTTGACGCCGGAGCAACTGGACCATGCCCGCTGGCTTGCACACGGTGTCTCTAGTCTTTGGGGGGCTGTCTTCGAAGCGTCGTTGAGTTGTGGGAGATTTGAGGGTTGAGGTTCTTGCTACTACCCGTAGGCCCCATAGTAGTTCCTGTTGGGGATTACCTTATAGGATTCTAAATCTGAACCCCAAAAAGGAACTACTATGGGGCCTATATGGGTATAGGTCTCAGGGCTTCTGTCTGTCGTGGGGGTCCCCTGGCCGAGGAGATCCGGGAAACCATGGAGGTGCGCGTCTGCATCTTCCGAGGGTGCAGCAGTACTAGGGTAAAATATAGGGGCCCTAATAATCAGAATAGGGTTTTTGGGGGGCCCATTATACTATAATTCTAATAAGAGGCCCCCAACATGGTATAGGGAATTATTTAGGCCCGTACAGTACTGAAATCAGATAGGCTAGGCTGCGACGGTGTGTGGCGGACGGATTGGCGCTCGTCATGGTTTGTGTAATCATCCGCATCCTTGTCCTTATCACCCTCTTTTAACGTCTTCTTCGTCGTCGTCGTCCTCCTCCTCCTCCAGCATCATCGTGCATGTCGTCGTCATGACTATTTCCGTCAGTATCTGCATCAACATCAGTGTCTTTGGTTTTGATGTTCATCACCATCTCCTTCATCCTCATGAGCGTAACAAGACCCGGGTGCTTAAGTGCAGGCTGGCAAGTAACATCTTCACACGTAGCTGTTGGATTTGTTGCAGACCCGCTCCTGGGCCCTCTAAGACTCTAAGAGGTCCTGCAGGAAGGAACCACAATCGGGACAAGAACACCTCAACCCATCAGCGCTTAGACCCCGCTTGGCAGAACTGTGGCGGCCGGCTCTCAATCACCGATCTACCCAACGAGGCGCCTTGGCCCAGGGAGCTTTATGGGCTCCGAAGGTGTTTTCCCCTAAGCCCTACTGGTACTATAGGGGCCTTGATAATTGCCTATATATTATCTTGGGGGTTTGTTGTTATACTTATAGTATAATGGACCCCCAAAACCCTCTTCTCAGTCTTCTAAGCATTAAGACCCCTCTATTAAGCCTTAGAAACCCTGGAGGGGGTCGGCTTGCGTGGAGTCGTCCCGCTTGTGATGGATTGCAAGATGAAGCATCCAAGACAGGGGCCTTATCATAATTGCCTCTACTATTTTGGGGGGCTCCTTATTATAATGATACTTTATCATACCATAAAACCCCACTCTAGTTACGAAGGCCCCTACATTTTGGATGCGGACTTCAGAGTTGGAGCGCAGGGTGGACATCTGCAGCGCCCATCCCCCTTAAAAAACCCTCGGAGCACTGGAGAAAGCTTCAACCCAGAGACTCCAATACCCCTTAAAAGGAATATACTTTAAAGTATAGTAGGATCCCTAATAGGATTTAAGGTATATTCCTTAATTACAGGGGTATTGGAGTCTCTGGGAAGAGCTGAGCCCTAAACCGGTCAGCTTTGTCTGTCATCTCCTTCAACTTAAGGAGTTTTTGTCTGTTTCTTTCAACTCGGGGAGTTTTTTGTCTGTTTTGGAAGCTGCCGAAAGCTTCCTTTCTGCAGCCTTCAGGGACCTTGCAGTCCAAAGGATACCTATAGTCTCCATTGTAGTTCCTTGTTTTGGTTTAACCAAATATTTATTAAGGATTCTATAAGGTATCCCCAAAAAGGAACTACAAGGGAGACTATAGATACTCTTCGGACTGTCTGCAACCCTAAACCCTAAACCCTAAACCCTAAACCCTAAACCCAAAGCATACTCTTCGGACTGTCTGCAACCGTTTCGGAAGGTCGGCGTGGCGCTGGAGCACTGCGAGGTGCGTGTCGAGGCTCCCTCTGCTTGCGGGTCTGAGAGTTTGGGGTTTTGGTTTTAAGTTTAGGGTTTAGGGTTTAGGGTTTAGGGTTTAGGGTTTAGGGGTTTAGGGGTTTAGGGTTTAGGGTTTAGGGTTGGTAGAAGTTGTAGAGGGTTCCTGTGCGGAGTTTTGTGCGGCGTGACATGATAATTTTGAATGTCTCCCAAAACCCTCAAACCTAAACCAGAGCCCTGTCCCCCAGAGGCTTCAAGCCCATAGCCCGAAGCCCAAAAATCCCAAATTCCCAACCCTAAAATCCTCGAATTCAAACCCAAAGCCTTCATTGGAGCCTCTAGGCACACGGCCAATGCTTGAGGCCTTTCTTGGGCTTCCGGGCTTGTTTCAGGGCTTTGCGGGTTTCAGGGCTTAGGATTTCAAGGTTGAGGGTATACAGGGTGTAACGGTTTGGGGCTTGATGTATGGGTTTACCTTTCACTACGCCTTGGGGTTCAGGGTTTCGGGCCGCTCCAACGGCAGATGCTGCGAAAGCACAGCTCCCTGCACAAGATCCACAATGACTTGCCGCCTGTCTTCTCAAGGGAGATGTCGGGACCCGATGAAGAACCCCCCCACCCGCTTCTTGTTCGGGTTCTTTATGTGGATTCTGGGTTGTACTTGTGTTGGGAGTTCAAAACCAGGAGTTTCTTAATACCAGGAGTGTCTTAGTCAGGCTCCTAGATTACCGGATCGGCGAGTTGGGCTCCCTTTCAGGTACCAAGCCTTTCAATTTTCGAAGCTGATGGCTAAAGGTTCCCTGACATTCTGGTATACCTTCTGAACCCTAAACCCGAAACCCTAAACCCTAAACTTCTTTCCTCACGGCTTAGAGTTTAGTCGACACAGACGGCAAGGTAGCTGCCCAGAGTCGTCCTGCCCCGGCAGCTCCGTTCAGAGCCCAGGGTTTGAGTTGTGCATGCCTTTCATGCCTCAAGCGCTGGGCCGCAAAACCCAAGACATATGGGAGTTTCCAAAAATACGGGGTACCTTATAATGGGGTCCTGATAATAAGGATCCCATTATTTAGGGTACTATACTAGGGTCCCCTATTTTCGGAAACCCCCATATACTGACGTATACCCCACACATCCCTAAAGTGTTTACCACCCTGGGAACAGCCAGGCCGCCCCAACCCTCAGCCCTCAGCCCCAAAGCCCAAACCCCAAAATTCCCTAAATCGCCGACTTCAACCCTCAGCCCTCCTCCCTAAAACCCGAACCCAGGTTCTCCCAGCAGTACCTGCTGTCCATTGCGCATGAGCTCCTTGGGCCGAAGGATCACTTGAAGGATAGGGCCTAAGGTTCTCGGGTTAAGGCCCTTAAGGGTTTAGGGACCAGGCTCCTGGGTTCTGGGTGTAGGGCTGAGTGGCTTAGGGTTCACGGTTTTCAGGACTTATAAGCTTTAGAGCTCTACGGTTGGGATCTCAGGCTCTAGGATGCAGCTCTGCTGCCTAATCAAGCCAAAGATCATCCTACCCTTCAGCCCCAAGCCTGTTCTTGGAAAGGGCGTCCGTGCAAACCCCAAACCCGAAACACACAACCTCGTAACCTTGACCTAACCGGCCCTAGCCAAGGAACAAAAACCCTTAACCCCAATCCCTCTGCGCAAGACTTCCTGGCCGGCAGGAGCCTCAACCAACGTAAGATTGTTCCCTTCCGTCAGGCCCGGGTTTAGGGTTTGGGGTTTGGGGTTTAGGGTTTAGGGTTTAGGGTTTAGGTTTAGAATGCCTGCAGTACTACAGTCTAAACGGTTGGACACACTGCCCGAACAAACATCGTAAGATTCTTGTAAGCCTCCACAACGTGTCCAACAACTAAGCACTTCATCAGGCCTTCAAAACCCTTGCAAACCCAACCCAAGCTAAACCCTTACGCCAACCCTAAATGCCTTAAACCCACAACTCCAAACTGCCAAACCTGAATCCGAAAGCCCCAAACTTACCTTGAACTACCCTAAACCCCCAAAGCCCTCTAAACCCCGAAGCCCCTAAACCCTGACCTCCCAAAGCCCCTAAGCCCGAGCTCGTCGTCCTTAAAACCCAAGCCCAAAGCCTCAAGCCCCAACTCCGCAAAGCTCAGGATTTAGAGTTTAGGGTTCAGGAGTTTGGGGTTTGGGGGTTTAGGGGTTTAGAGTTTAAGGTTTGGGGTTTGGGGGTTTAGGGGTTTAGAGTTTAAGGTTTCGGGTTTAGGGTTCAGGGGTTTAGGGTTTAGAGTTTAAGGTTTAGGGTTTAGGGGTTTAGGGTTTAGGGGTTATGGGGTTATGGGATTATGGGGTTTAGGGTGTTAGGGTTTAAGGATCGAGGAGAGCCTCGAGGAAGCTGGCGCGCTGGCGGTCTCGGACCTCGTGAGCAACTCGGCAGCGCGTGGTCTCCTGTTGGCCTACCTACAGTCTCCGTTGTAGTTCCTTTTTTTTGATTTAATCAATTATATTTGAAGGGTTTTATAAGGTATCCCCAAAAAGGAACTACAATGGAGACTATAGGTAGAGTTTTCAGGTGCTTGGTTGTGTGTTTTGTTGTGTTTTATGGGAATGGGGTTGAGAGAGGATCTCGAACTTTCTTCCTACGTGGCCATAAGATGGGCTTTATTGAGGCTGTCAACGGGGATTCACAGCTTTACGGCCTTGAGGGTTCGGGGCGTGATCCTAGCATCCCAACCTCATCTGCTAACAAAGGTAGGTACAACCTGCCGGCGGACTACATCCGCAACTCAGTCTTGGTTCTGCTTTCCTCAACGGAGGCGGCGACCGGGACTCTAGGACGAATACTTCTAGACAGTCTCCATTGTAGTTCCTTTTTGGTGATACCTTATAAAATCCTTAATATATATTTGGTTAAACCAAAAAAAAGGAACTACCATGGAGACTATAGGTAGTCTTGAACTTCGGATCCCTTTCTGGCCGGCCCAGGAATGTAACGGGTGTCAGCTGCCGTGCCTCCCGCAGCCAACGGCTTGCAAAGCAGCCCACTGAGCTCCAGGCTCCGAACAAGACCCTAACGTAGGGGCCAAAAAAATTACCGATACTATTTTGGGGGTTCCTTATTATAACGTAGGGGCATAAAAAATTGCCGATTCTATTTTGGGGGGTTCCTTATTATAGTTATAATGGGCCTCAAAACCCAACCCTGAAACCTCAATCCGCTCGTGCAGCCTCACAGGCTGTAATTCGGCAGAACACTGTGTACACCGGCTCCTACACAGCGCGAGTGGAGGCCCCTGAAGGTCTCGGGATCATTTACGGCGGCTTAAATGGTTTAGGGTTTAGGGTTTAGGGGTCAGGCTCAATTAATAGCTGGCTCCTGATGTATGGTTGTGTTTGTGCCTGCAAGCACGTACCGGCTTGCCGAACAAGCAGTTCTTCAATGACGGATGCGTCCGTAGGGATCCTAGAGCTTGCAGTAGTCACGAACAAACAAAATAGCCATCGTAGCAAGGACAGCATCGGGTTCTGCAGTTCCGAGTTGGGTATGGTTGGTCATGGAAGTTGCTTAGGACATGCTACTGTGACTCCCTAAATCCCACATATGAGCGAACAGCGAGCGCGTGATGGCAGGCGGTAACTGTGCAATCTGCTACCAGCCCATTTCGCGGAAGCTCCCGCGAATCTTGCAACTCGTAGGCCCCGCGCCGAAATCTTTGGTCGAACTGTGAGAAGCACTCAAATCAACGCCTTGTAGCACTTAGCACGAAGACCCAGATCAAGAGCCAAAAGTCGCAACAACAGACGCGCTCAACATGGACGGCCTTTGAAGCCCCTTTTGAGACCCTTTGAAGCTCCACTGCCAAGCCCAGCTGAAAGAAGAAAGATCCCTAAGTCGAAGGTATGGTATGTTAAGGTATCTAGATCTGGCTTAAGTGACAGTTTTATTAGGGTTATTCGGGGTCCCGGACCCTCTTTTGATGCTCTGCTCGCAGGCACGGGTTCGAGGTGCCCTGCGCGGAGCGACCCAGCCCGTCTCGCTGGCACAGCTGTCGGCACGGTCTTGTGCTCAATGCGAGGGGGTTCAGGGCCCTGGGGGTAGGGTTCAACGCTATCTGTCTAAAACCGAAAGCCGGCCCCTAAACCCCCAAACCTCCAAGCCCAACTGCCAAGCTGACCTGTCCGCAAACGGGCTCGTGCCTCAGTAACAGGGCGACTCCGAGAAAGTTGTTTCGACCGCTACATGGGAGTTGTCGAAATAGGCTAGGCTCCTTTATCGGGTCCTTTTCCTGAGGGTGATGTAATCTTGTGGGGACCGAGCAAGGGACGCGAGTTTAGGAAACTTCCCTTTGCAGAAAGAGCCCCAAACCTGAACCTTATGCACATTGTTTCTACAGTGGCATAAAGTGATCATGCCGATCGGACTCTTGGGGCTCAAGCCCAAGCCCGTCCGGCCCGCGTCGGCAACTGACCGGTTTGGGGGGGTTCAGGGTAGTCTGCTCCGAGTGCTGCAGGAACAAAAGAAGCCGGAGAAAGCCTCATGCTTTCATGTCCTTCGCTTCCCTCCTGCTCTGCGCCGGAGCCCACACCTTTGGCCACCGGGCAAGTCTTGGCAAGTAAGATTTGCGGTGAAAAGGCTTAGTGGCACCACTAGCTGTACCCTGCCGAAAGTTACTGCCCCCCCAACACGAGTGTTTGTCCAAGAACCGCTTTGATTCTGCCAGACAGTCAGACAAAGACAACCGAGGAAGTGTATGCTCGTGATCTACAAGACTGTGCCGACGTGAATGCCTGCGAGGAGCAGCTCTTTGCAATGTACGTGCTGCCGGTGGAAACCCTCTTCGAGATGACTGAAGTCGTTCCCCACGAAACACTACGGGCGAACGAAAAGTTATTCGAGTTCGACGAGGCACTTGGCAACGCAATGTTCATCTCGCATCAATGGGCTGGGGACACGAGTCCGGACCCCGATTTCCAGCAGTTCAAAGTGCTGCAGGATGTGCTGCGGACGAAGTTACGCCCGGGCGCCTCCATCATGGGCCACTTGCAGGTCGAACTATATACAGGGCAGTCGCACCGTCTTCCTGCTGAAGAAATTTCTTCCAAGCCCCTGTTCGTATGGTATGACTATTTCAGCTGTCCGCAGAGAAGCGCTTCTGCACAGGAAAAGGCCATCAGCAGCATCCCCGCATACGTGGGTAAGTGCCGCTATTTCGTGATTCTATGCCCTCCCGTTTGGCACGCTGGGCAGCAGACCTTCTTGTCCAAAAGGAGTTGGGAGTGCCGAGGTTGGGGGAGAGGGGTCAAAAAAAAACTATTTAAGGGATCAAAAAAAACTATTTCCGGGATCAAAAAAACTATTCACAGATCAAAAA